CAACAGCAACAGCAACTGCAACTGCAACTGCAACTGCAACTGCAACTGCAACTGCAACTGCAACTGCAACTGCAACTGCAACTGCAACTGCAACTGCTGCTACTACTACTACTACTACTACTACACTGCTGCTGCCGCAACCACTGCTTCTACCGCTACCATTTTCCACCATCGGTACTACTACTGTACCACTGCTGCACTCTCACGGGTTCTTCTATGTTGCCACAGCTGCTATCGCGACTGCCAGGTCGTGGTGAGATTGATGGGGATAGTGATGGTGCTTGTGGCTGATCGTGGCTAACATATCTATTCTTGAGTTTTCGATATCGACCAGCAAGACGAAACCTTAAGCATTTCGGGGGTGGAGGCCGGCTTAGAGTACGTGGACAGCGACGGAGAACAGCGTGGTGTGCTGCCCAAGGAGAGGCGCGACCCGCTGCTAGGAGATGTCGTTGCTCCAACTTGGAAAATGTTGACGTGCTGGTGTGACAGTCACAGCAAGAATATACGAGCAGCAACATGATACATACTTGGTATTTAGGAGTATTTCTTGGTTTAGGATTATTTTCATCATCACCACCAGGACCATCAAACAGGCACCGGCATCAGCACGATCAGAATCACAACCATAGTAAACTCATACCCTGGCTATCATGTTGGTCATATCGCCCGTATCAACTATACCAAGTTCATCTTCGTCATCATAACCTCACTATTTCTCATCGTCGTAGCAGTGGTCGTCCTCGTTGTCATGATTCTGGTGGCGGTGGCAGTCGTGGTCGCAGCAGCAGCAGCAGCAGCAGCAGCAGCAGTAGCAGCAGTAGCAGCAGGAGCAGCAGCAGCAGGAGCAGCAGCAGCAGCAGGAGCAGCGGCAGCGGCAGTTGTAGCAGAGGATGGTGCTTTAGCTCCTGTCGCTGTCAGTGTTGACGGCCGTGGTCAACTTCTTCGTTGAGGCAGCACGAGGAAGAAGGATACCACCAAAGTAGAAGAAGCAGCCGCAAGAGCAATGAGAGTGGTTTTCGTTGCCCTCCGGATGCTAAGCGGTGTCAATCACAGGCGGCTGTCCAAGCAACAGTTAGAGCAAGCCCCGAGGCGTAACCTCCGCGGTCGCATCGCGGAGATCCTGCGGCTGGTTCAAGAGGGTCAGGCATGCTCATGTGCGGGGGAGTGCAGAAAGCATTCTGTTCACATTCGCGGTCGCTTCGGGCACGAGATCCCCCGAAAGAGCCCGTAGGAAAGTCAACAACACTAGCATTTCGCCATGACGCTGAGAAGTACCAGCCACGGTTATAAGACATCATGATCCAAGCGTAAATGACGCCTTTGGTTCGTTATGCAAAGTGCCAAGAGGTGGACCCCAAGAGTCTTTACATCGCGGAGATGCGGCTTCTCCATGAGTGAGCCTCAATTACTTCGAAGTCTGATCCCGCATTGGTGCTGAACCAGCTCAAGTCGCGTAAATTAAGGCAGCTGACCATCCGCTTGACGGTGAGCTGGTGAAAACCGCAACACCCCCAGTTTGGGGTGGCCGTTGGGCTCGGCACGACAGCCTGTATGTTGCATCCAGGTCTGTCTGCGTGATGTGTCTGAACCCCAGCCACTACTGCACCATCGGAGCAGCCCCTTGCGATTGCAGTACCTGGTGGTGCCAGGAAAGATGTGCTCGGCCCGCTGTCCAAGTGGACTTTCTATTGGGATCGCCACGACGAAGGCGGAAACAGGACATGCAACAAGCCGTCAGCGGAACCTGGTATGGTTCAACCGCTTCGAGACCTGAGATGACACTGACCGTGGCGCTGCTTGCGACGGCCTTGTAGGCGTCTTCATCGGGAATCGGGGTAGCGGCAAGGGGGTCTGTCCCTCAGCTGTCTCACGGTCTTGATCCTTAATCTGCTTAAGCTGTCTTTCTTGAACCGACACAAGCCGCAATTCCGAAGAGCAAGTCAGCTCCAAAATTCTTAGATGCCTCGGCCCAGGCTCACCCTTCAAACTCTATGTCTATGTCCGCCCTCCACAGGTTCACGTCGACCAGGTCCTGTGGAGCAACGCCATTGCCTTGGTCACGAAAGCTAGCTGGCTCAGGTCAAAACAGCGACATAAAGCTTATTCACGGGAGGGTTCCGCCCCGGTTCAGAGGCAGCAAACCTGAAGGTCTCTTGTCCAAGATGTTTGGCCTGCTCTCGCTGCATACGTGTTGTCTCCACCCTGCAAGCACGGCAAGAGTCAAGAGTTTCTAGCAGCAGTTCAAGGGCAATTGGTAGCCTGGCGGCTTCGCGCAGGGTGAATTGAAAAGTTGGTGAATTAGCGAACCTTGCGGTTGCACACGAAGCTGCGTGTTGCGACTTTGGCGGCGCCCGTCTGGGGTTGTGTAGGGTGTCTTGGCGTTTCGTGCTGGCGCATACCAACCACCTTTCTGCTTCCTTTGCACCTGAAATTCGCAACAAGTATTTGGCCGCCTCCATATTTTTGAGCACATCACTGACAATACGTCCCTGACCCACTAGGAGGCAGAAAGCTGGTTAGCATGTGCCGGCCTGAAAAAGCGAGTGCACCCTGGAAATTTTGCTCAAATATGCCCTCAAATAATTCACAGTGCCTCAGACCAAGCAGTTTCGCAGGGAAGTGGCCAGAAATGGTTGGGTTGAGGTTCGAAGAATCCAGTACACCCCCAATCAAGACACAGATCACAATTTCCAGGGCCCAAGGGCATCCAATCCAGCATTTCCGAAACCACCCGCCACTTTCGATTCTGAGCAATGCATCTGGTACTGCACCACCAGAATGTTGGGCGGCAAACTCGACAGTTCAAAGGATCGCGACTCCCGGATGCCTGAAAGTCTGCGACACAGCTTTCGACGCCACGCAGCTGTAGGGAAGGTGCTCGGAATCAAGCACAAGCACGGGGGGTTACAACAAAGAGAGCAGATGGTTGGGGGAATGTACACTGTAAGGACCCAACAACCTGCCACTTAGAAACTCTTACTGGGGGCTGGGCTCTGCACCTACTTCTGAGGGCGGCACGGGACAGACGACAGAGCAACAAAGCCAGGCAACACACTTGACCTGCGAGTAGAGCAGTCAAGGCTGTGCAAGGGAGCGGCTGACTGTCTGTGTAACAACGGCAACTGTAACTGCTGGCAGTGGTCAGTGAGGAGGGGTGTCGAGCGTCCCCCGGAGTTCTCCCCCAGGGCTGCTTGGAGATCGGTCCTTCGGGCCAGATGCCTTAGCAGTATTTCTTGGCAGCTGAATATTATTCAATCCCTTTACAAAAGTACGACGCTCTAGACACAAAGACAGTCACCTTCAATCTGTTCATGCAGTCTTGATAACAGCTGAAGAACTTTCAGTAAACCACTGGCAGTGTTCATGCTCATGACAGCAACAGAGGCATTGCCGTAGTCGTCGTCGCTCAGCCATGCATTCGGGACGCAGCACAGACCAATAGTAATCCGAATGTCTCAAGAGCGGTGCAAAGCACAAACAAGGAAGAGGCCTGTAGCAAGCTCGTCGCCAATCGGGCTAAATGCCGAAATCGTACGCTCAATCTGCCTGAGGTCGGTAAGAACTGGCGTGGCTACAAGCTGGTGGCAGCCTGGCCAAAGGGCGCGGTCGGGCGCTCAGCGGTAATTCCGGGCTTGGCAAGATGAGAACTGGTATGCGAAACTGCACAGGACATCTCAGCATGACTGTTGTCCTTTTCGAAAGGCGACTGCTGCAACACTTCTGCTCTGCTGCTGATACTGATGTTGGTGTTGGTGATGACGATGATGATGTTGATGATGATGATTGTGATGAAAATGATGAGTGTTAAGCAGAAGAAGAAGACGATGATGATGATGATGAGTGTGAAGAAGATGATAATGATGGTGTTGGTGAGGAAGAAGATGATGAGGAGAATACGGATGTTGATAATGCGGATGATGGCCATGATGATGGTGAGGATGATGATCACAACGACATCGACCATGACTACGATCACCACGCCGCCGACGACGACTACTTTGCCAAGTCTCAGCCTGGGTCGATTGGGGGCAGAGTGTAGGATGAAAGACAAGTCTTTAATGTGAATGGTTATTTTGGTCTTTGTAAGTATCTTGGAAACATCGAAATTTGGTAATTTGGTTTCGACATTCTCAGACCGCCTAAACCTCCCTATGGTATTGCTGTTGTACTGCTACTGTACTACTACTGTGCCTCTACTATACTGCTGTACTTTTGTTGAACAACTGTTATAGTATTGTTGCACTGCTGCTACACTGCTTCTTGTCTGCTGTTCTTCGCCTTTCTGAAGACAAAAGGCCAACAGACACCCCGCACCCTTCTCATGGGGGGGAGGGGGGACTGCGGCAAAATCACGAAAACATCAGGCTTTGAAGGGCTGGCTCATACTGCAGTCGTATGCTCAGGCAGTAAACGACACAGGATTGAAACAAGGATTGAGAAATTCAATCCGCGCCCGGATCCAAGATCCAAGATTCTGCCAGGAGTCTTGGGGCATCTTGGATCCGGATTGAAAGTGGATGCAAGGATTGAAATTCGATCCTTCAATCCAGTTTCAATCCCCGGGATGATGACCCCAAGTATCAGGATTGAAATCCGGATTGCAGGATTGAATTTCAATCCTGGCCCAGATCCAAGGTTGTGCCCCAGGACTCCTGGGAGAATCTTGGATCTTGGATCCGGGTCGGGATTGGAACTCAACCCTGTATGTGTACGTATGTGCGTGTGTGTGTGTGTGCGCTTGTGCTGTTGTTTGGTATAGTTTTGCGTTCAAGTGGACAGGCGGTCATAAAGAGGAGATGATGGACAGAAAAGCCTGGGAAACACAAAGAGACTATGAAGGACAGAAAAACCATAATGAATATATATATATATATATGCATAATATACGAATGTCTCGATGCTAGTGGTGGCGACAAGCAACTTTCGACAGTCACGCTGGAGGTCAGCAACCAGATTTGCACGGACTTTGACGACCAGCTGTTCAGCCCACGGACTCAGTAGGGGTAGGGGTGAGGCCATCATGTCTGCCTTCCAATTTCCGCTACTCTCAATCCGGCTGCGGCTGCTGCTCTTGCGATCACCATCTGTATCGCCGGGACTTCCTACTGCGGGCCGTTTATGCATTGGCTGAGGTCCGCCGCTGTCGCAAGCCAAGCTGCAAGCTCTGCGGCAGGCGGTCCATGCTTTTGGAGCCGTAATTCTGTTCGCCCTCACGCATATCGCCGGAAGTTGCCGGATGGCGACGAACGAGCACTTGTGGGAGTCTTCGCTCTCTCTGGGCTGTCTGTTTACTCTCTGACTCTTCGGCTGCCTTGTACAAGCAGGCCGCGAAACTGGTTCTTCTTCGTCCGGGCGACGTGTACTTCTTCAGCGGCGGGACGGCGCACACGGCCATGGCCGAAGCGGATGTTCGATTTCGAGCTGCTGTGCCTGCCGCTTGCTCGAGGCCCTCTGCGTGTCCGAGGGCATGGGTCTCAGCAGCTACGAGTCCATTGTGACCTTGCATCCAGCCGGCAGCCCAGATTCTCACGCAAGCCTTGCGGAAGCGTTATTTGGACGTGTCGCATCTCCCATTTCGGCTGAGCTCCACAGCGGCCTCTGCATGCAAACCTGCGATCGCAGCAGCCCGTGCTGGAAACGGGCTCAGAATGGGCAATGTCCTCTCACTTCACGCCTTGGCACTGGCGGGAGGCTGGAAGGCGCCATGCCTCTCGACGAGTTCGAGGAGATCCTGGAAGAGGCTTTTCCGCGTCAAATCTGGCTTTGTGTCAGGGGCACTTGGTTTTGAACGTGCAGGTGGCAGAGCAGCTTGAAAATGCCGCCGGCCAGCTATTGCAGGTCCCTGCGCATGGTGCGCAAGGTTATGGGCTTTGTAACGCCGAGCGGTCCACACATGCAGGGTGGCCCCAGCGACGTTGCAGAGGCCCGCGTGCAGTGGGCCTCGCGTACGTATGCTTTCTGCGGCAGAGAGGGCATTCATGGCTCTTGGGAGGCGAAGCAGCCCAAGCCGCCGTTTGCCTTCCTGTTTGGGTTGGCTTTCGTCAGTTTGCGCTGAAGTCACGCTCCTTGCCAGGCAGCTTTGGCGCACATTGCGGCAGGAGCTGCTTGCGGACCAGGCTTTTTAGCATGTGCTTCAAAGGGTGTGGATTCTCAGATCTTGCTCTGAGAGCTTCTAATTCGAGTGCGCAACACACAGAGGCGACGATGCGTCTGCTGCAAGAGCACTGGGCCGCCACGGTTGCACAGTGCTTTGCCAGGAGAGACGTTCAGACAAGAAAACGTTGATGCTTTCTCCATTTCCTGCACCCTTGCGTCTCCAAGTTCGGCACAGGAGCCGATTCCTTCGAGAGCAGTGCTCAGCCACGGTGCGTCGAGCACTGCGGCGCCTTCTTCAAGGCAGAGGTGCGGGGGAGTCGCCCGTCGGAATGTGCGGCTAGGCTTGGGCGTGGCTATGCGTGGCTTGCAGGCTTCGCCTCTGAGAGGGAGCATGAGCCAGAGCAGGGAGCCCATCAAAAGGGATGTCAGTGCCCCCTGGAGCGCTTTGGGCCCCTGGGCCCCCTGCCTTTGATTGCCAGGTCCCGGAGCTCGAGCCTGAGAGCCCCGCCGGACCGTGCCGCCAGCACCCTAGCGGCTGCCCTAGCGGCTGCCCTTTAGCGGCCCTAGTCCAGGAGACCCGGGTCTCGCAGTCTCGGAACGACGGCAGGTGCGGAAGCGCTCCCGAAGCCCGCTTCGCCAGGGCACAGTGTCGAACTGAAGGTGCGTTGCATGAGTAGAGTCCGAGAGTCAGAGAGAAAGGAGTACGTGCGTGCTGAGCATCAGGCCCTGCATGCGGTGGCGCGAGAAGAACAAGCGGCAAAGTAGTGGCAGTCGCGGAGGTGCAGTGTCAACGTCTCTGCAGTGTCTTCCGACACATAGAACTAGTTTTGCAAGCGCTCCTCTGTGCAAAGCATGGGCGGCGCTCAAAACGTGGTGCTGCTGTGATTGCGGCGCAATGAGCCGCGCAGCATTTTGCGGGAGTCCTAGGCACTCGGGACATCTTTCGATGCATTCCGGGGCTTATATCGCCGAACCTCCGAAGCGTTGAGAACAAATAATCATTCGTTTCTCGATTCCGGACTTCCGCGAGATGCGTTAAGGCATAGACTCTTACACAAGTTGAGGTGCCGTCCTGAGCTCAACTTCCAGCTGCCCCCGTACCATCTCCAACAAACCAAGCTGCAATAAGCCCCCCTGAAGGCCCCCAGATCTGAAGTAAGAAGGGGCACAGGACCACCTCAGCAAAGACTGCTTGAGTGCATCGAAAAGGTCCAGGGCCCGCAGAAGGACGCTTTGCCCTGGAACCTCGCCCCCCCGTTCCCCCCCTTCGTCCAGGTCCCGGCCTCGTTTGGCGCCACCGAAGGTTCCGCAGCGGGCGGAGGACCCCGCAGTCTGCTCTAGTTAGAGGCTCTGTAGCACCTCACTGTCCCTTCCCTTCCCAGACGAAGCCGCCGACTTGTCAGCTCCTCGGGGCCCTCGGATTCCTGTGGCCAGAGCCGGGCATGCCGAGCAGCGGAATGTCACCCTTTTTGCTTTCTTTGTGAGTGTTGCTGTGCCAATGCCACGTTCAGACCTGCTGACTTCTAAGGGCATTACCTGGACACCAAGGGCCAGCTGCAGGCAGTCTCCTAACACATGCCTGCATACCTCGATGGTTGCCTGAGTGCCGTTGTCTTTCGATCATACCTGCGCTGGCCCTGGCATGAATGGCATGAATGAAGATGGGTTCAGCCAGGGGCCTTTCTCGTCGCAGCAGATGGCGCTGTGGCAGCTGACCTGCAATTTCGGGGCGTTTGCCCACCCTCAGAGAGCCGAAGCCCTTTCACTTTCGTCCCCCCAGTTCCAAAAGCTCTGAGCTCTGAGTCTCCCTGGCATTTGGTGTTTCCGGAAGACGAAATTATCCGAAGATACCCGACGAAATGGTGCTCTTGTCCCAAACAGCGGCTGGATCTCGAGTAAGGCACGACCACGACATGTTGCCAAAGACTCTGCGACTTCGACGTAGCACAGACACCGACTTCTTCACGATTCCCGAGCCTGCGTCTCGGACATTCCCTCTTGGCTCTGGCGATGTTTCAGTGGCCCACGAGGTTCTTCCCAGCTCCTCTGACTCCCTTCAAGTCGCTGCCTGTCGTGCCAGCGAAGGAGAAGGGATCACCCCCGAAGACAAAGCCAGAAACGCGGATTCCAAGTGTATCCAGTGTCCACGCTCAAAGGAGGCGCCTCCAGCGAGGCAAAAGGGGGACTTTCATGGGACGCTGCTTTGTGCTCTGCACTCGCTGGAGGCAAGTGCCACAAATCAAGGCCCAGGCTGGGCCTATAAGGCGGCTTAGGGCTCTCCTGGCCTTGCAGCCGTCTCTGTGGGGGCAGGCGGATCTCAGCCATCTGGTGCCTGCCCCGGCTGCCTGCTAGGTCCTGCTAGGTCCTGCTAGGTCCTAGGTGAGGAGCTCTGTTGTGTATTTCGATGTGCGAATCCCTGGCCTTCCAGGGACCTCTGGCGTCACTCTTCGCAAACGCCACCGCTGCAGCGCATGCCCGGTCCTGTTTGCGAATTTCGGCAGAGCTCCGGCGAAAACCAGCCATGCCATGTTCAAGGCAAGCGCGCAGCAGCAGGCGATGGTGCGGATCACAGTGACAAGCAGAGTGGAATGCTGGGACTGCAACCTCTTCTGCAATCTTTGTTGGAGCTAAGGCGGTCGGGAAGAAGGGAGAGAAGGCTGGGTGACTGCACATCGTCGCTAGCTGGGGCAGCTGGGGTTTGGCCCGGCTTCTGACCACAAGGAACATGGCTCTTCTCCCCATCTCCTCCTCTCTCTACGCTCTCTTCGTGCCTCCGCACTTCCGTCACTTCCCCTTCTCTCTCAGCCATCTCTGCCGCATCTGCCCCTTGTGCTCTGGCCAGGGCAAGGGTAAGCACATCGAGGAAGGCCGCGAGCTGGTGAGTCTGCAAGTCGTAGCACTCTTGCAAGGGTTTCGTGCTGTCACTGAGAGTCCCAAAACGGGTTAGAGGCTCCAGCAAGTCCAGCCTGTCCCAGAGGTGAGCACCCGCAGGGCAACTCCAAGAAAGGGCGGGGTAAGGCCAAGGAGAAGCAGGCCGATCTCTCCGCACATATGGGTTAAAATGCACAAAAGGAAGTAGAAGCGTATACTGTATACTGCCTCAGGAGGCCGATGCGAACGGCTGGGTCTGGCCCGCAACCCAGCAGAGCGAAGCGAGCGAGGCAATGCGAAGCAATGCGAAGCAATGCGAAGCCAACCAGACTGTACTTCGAAGCGGCGAAGTCCACGTGAGCTGATACTTGTAGCACTTTGCAGGTTGCTCCTGCTGAGGTCCGCCGAGCATGGATGGAGCAATGATAAGGTGCCTTTCTAGAGACTCGAATGATGCACGAGTGATGTGCATCGGTGCATCTTTTTTCTTTCTGCCAGTGGTGGGATTGGTCCTGGAACGGCCACGGCTGGTCCGAGAACGGAGACGGCTGGGAGAACGGCAAGCAAGCAGGTGCAGCGCCTGCGTTGGAGAGTGCTAGGTACATTTGCGCTGAGAGCATGTCGGGGGGCTGCTTTAAAGTTTGGATGCTGCAGTCACATGCCAACGTGTAGAGACTCATTGGTGCCAGGCGACTGGTCCGGAGACGCAGCACAGAATGCGCCTCACAAGGACAAGGGAGAGAAGGTCACCGCAGTCCAGGCCTTGTGTAGTGGTGCGTGCAACCCACGCTGCCAGTACGCTTCCAGTTCCTGCTCAGTTGCGTAGCATGGCACATTGGGTGCATGGGCCTTGCGCGAAGAGCCGGCTGCACGAGTCATGACGAGTCCAACTCCTGGAGTTTGGGTCCTTGGGTTTGGGAGTTTACCGACCTGCGTCCTGAAATGTCCTGAACTTGTCACCCGTCGGGAGCCGCGCAGTTGTGGTAATGGATATGCAAAGCATGAGGCCCGCCGAAGAGACGGCGGGTGTGAGGCTGCGAAATGCTCGTGATGCGACCAGCGTCACGATGCCCTCAAATCATTCTTGGCCCCGGGCGTTTCGTCACAGGACTCAAGTGGGGCGTGACTAGTTCCGTTTCAACCGCCACCCAAGCGCCTGAATCCGCTGCCACTACGTCCGCTACGTCCTACTTGTCTCGATATCCTTGCGAGGCAGCATTCGGCAACCTCAAGTGGGGTCCACCCTTCCAGGCTAGCGGGGACGTGGTTAAATGCTGCGTCGCAGTGTACTCGCACCTGGGAGGATGACGACCTTTTCCCAGAGGTGCCGGAGTTCCACGTCTGAGCTTCCGCATTGCGAGCCATGGGTTCATTGGGCTTGCAAAATTATATCTCGGTGCTGTTTTGCAGGAGCCCATCCGCCGCGTTCTGGACGAGGGCATTGTTTGGGAGGCCGCAGAGTCCCAGTCGGCTCGCGCCCTGCTGGTCGAAGCCGATCCTATCCTATCCGAATCCTGCAGCCTGTCTATCCACCCATCGGCCATCTATCCATCTACCCATGTACCTAACCATCTAGCTAGCCATGTATCCATCCATCCATGCATCCATCCATCTGTCCATCTGTCTTTCGATCTATCTATCTTCCATCCATCTATTCATCCATCCATCC